TACAATTTAAACTGCATTTTAAACTGCATGGTCTCCTCCACTTGACTGCATTTGTCCACAATGGAAACAATTTTGCATGAACTTTTGTACAAAGATATTCTTCAACATGTAATTTATTTAATACTGTAGAATTGAAGGAATGTGATTTAAACTTTCAAATATTTATAATTCATTTAAAATTTTAACTCTTAAAAATTTCAGCTTAAAGAGTATTGGTAGTTTACTGTATATATTTGAGTATTATATACTGTACCTACTTTTCAGGCTTAATTTATCTATATGAGAATACCTTCCCAGGATCACCTTAGGTCTACCATCAGTAGTACACACAATATAACAGTAGTATTTCCAAAATCTTGTACTGTATATATTCATAATACAATTTATATTCATAATATGTACAATTTATTCAAACTACAATATACAGTAGGGCCCCACTTTATGGCGTTTCACCTCATGGCAATTTCAAATTATGACCAAGACTTTCGATACGGTGAGCGATCTTTTAAATATGGCGCGCACCACCCGGTTTGTTTACATTCTCCGTGAGCACATCTCTGTATTATGTAATAATAATCACTCTTGGGCACATTAAATGTCTTATTTCAGGTTCGTATAGACAGTTTCATTAATCCATCTATATTTTCTTCAAAATTATATACGAAACACAAAAGAATGAACGTTAAACATGACACTTAACTTTTTTGAAGGCTGTTGTTGCTGGAAGGCAGGGAGGAGGGGAGAGAGAAGATAGGTTAGTGTTTGGAAGGGAAATCCCCCTCCATAAGGACTCTAGGTACCAAGTCCTTATCTGGGGGTCACTTCCCTCCTTTGTTTTTTACTGTCACTAGGACCAGCTTGAGAGTCACTGGACCCCTGTCGACACAAAATATCTGTCCAGATAGGCCTAAAATGGAACATGGTATTGTCATTGTAAAAATCACCAGCACGGATTGCAACAGCTTTCTCAGAGTGATGTTGCTCCACAAATGAATGCACTCTAGTCCACATTGCACAAATCTCCTTAATCTTTGAAGAAGGCACCTTCTTCCATCTCTCTTCCTCCTCCTCTGAAGCAATTTCCTCAGCTGTGGTCTGTTGCTGTTGCAGATGAAGCTCTTGCAGCTCATCAGTGATTAGCTCTTCATTGTGGTCCTCCACTGACTCTTCCACATCCTCCAAACTCACATCCAACCCCATGGAATTCCCCAATGCCACAATTGATTGCACAACAGGTGTAGGGTTGACAGGGTCAGCCTCAAACCTTTCAAAATCCTTCTTTTGGACACACTCTGGCCACAATTTTCTCCAAGCAGAGTTTATCATCCTGGAAGTCACTTCCTGCCAAGTCTTATCTATAAGACCTATGTAGTGGAAAATATTGAAGTGATTCTTCCAGAACTCTCTTAGGGTCAATTCAGTGTACAGTTTTTTGAAGTTTGCAATGATTTGCTGGTCATAGGGAGGAGGAGAGGAGTGGTGTTAGGAGGCAAAAACTTCACTGTTACAAAACTGAATGCCTTAGACAACTGGTCTTCCAAGTCAGGAGGACGAGCAGGAGCATTGTCCATTAACAGGAGGCACTGGAGTGGCAATTTCTTATCCAGGAGGTATTTTTTTTACACTGGGGCCAAACACTTCATTAAACCATTCCAGGAAAATTTCCCTTGTGACCCATGCTCTACTGTTTGCCTTCCACATCACACACAATTTACTCTTATCAACACTGTTTTTCTTGAAGACTCTGGGATTTTCAGAGTGATACACCAGTAAAGGCTTCACTTTGAAGTCCCCACTAGCATTACCACACAACAAGAGAGTTAGCCTGTCTTTCATAGACTTGTGTCCTAGGAGTGCCTTTTCCTTCTGCATGATGTAGGTCCTCTTTGGCATTTTCTTCCAAAAGAGGCCTGTTTCATCACAATTGAACACTTGATGGGGTTGGAATTTTTCAGACTCTACATAACATTTGAATACCCCAACGAATTTTTCAGCCACTTGTTTGTCAGAACTGGCACCCTCACCATGCCTTACAACACTGTGTATGCCACTTCGCTTCCTGAAATTTTCGAACCAGCCTTTGCTGACCTTGAATTCACTTTCATCACCACTTGTTTCAGGCAGTTTCTTTATGAGATCCTCATGCACCTGCCTTGCCTTTTCACAAATAATGGACTGCACAACACTATCTCCTGCTAACTCTTTCTCTCTGATCCACACCAACAACAATTTCTCCATTTCTTCAATTGTTTGGGATCTCTGTTTGGTTATTGCATTCACCCTTTTCACAACATCAGCTTCCATGATTTCTTTTCTCTTTGCCACAATGGAACCGATTGTTGATGGCGACTTCCCGTACATCCTTCCGAGTTCAGCAATGCATATGCCACTATCATATTTTCTTAAGGTTTCTTTTTTCAGTTCTTTGGTGTTCCTCACTTTCTTTACCAAAGCACTGGCACTAGGAGCTTTCTTTGGGGCCATGGTCGCTTATTTAGCAGTTACACAAGTGGCAAATACAATGGATTATGAAATGTTTCGTATGACCTGGCAGGATGTGTTCACTGACCAAGAAACAACGCTACACTGGCTGAGAATGCGTGTAGGAGGCGGCTTTGTCTGCGCGCTGGGGACTGGACAGGTTCCATACGATCAATGAAAACTAAGATAATCGACGAAAACTAAAACCAAAAATCGATGAAAAAAATCAGCCAAAACCAAAATCGGTGATAACTAAAATCGACGAAAACCAAGGGTCCACATATATTCCTATTACAGTGACAGAGAATTCCTTTATTTTTATTTATTTTAAAATAAGAAATCTAGCCTAAATTTTTTTGACTAAGCTGATTAGCGCACTTTGGTTCTAGATACAGTGGACCCCTGATCTACGATGTCCCCAACCTACATTAAAACTGACCTACGATGCTTTTCAGCGTAAAAATTTGACCCCGACGTATGTTGAAAAACTCGACTTACAGCATTTGTCCTGAACGTGTCCATCTGGTCCGTCTGGCCAGAGCACCTCAGCTGAGCTACTGTGACATTGTTTACAAGCCAGGGCGGACGGTTTCATGCTTACATTCAATAAATTTTGTATTCCAGTTTTTAGTGCTTATAACTACTAAATAAGCCATGATGGCCCCTAAGAAAACTTCTAGTGCCAACCCGGTGGTAAAAAGGGTGAGAAATACTATCGAAATACTATCAAAATACTATTGTACCATGGCCAGCTGCTGCTGCTGCTGCTGCTGCTGTACCATGGTCAGCTGCTGCTGCTGCTGTACCACGGTCAGCTGCTGCTGCTGTACCACAGTCAGCTGCTGCTGTACCACAGTCAGCTGCTGCTGCACCATGGTCAGCTGCTGCTGCACCACGGCCAGTTGTACTACTCAAAGATGTGGAGAGACTGTTGTTGGTGTGGCTTATCAAGAATACCAAGAAACAATTAACCCCAGACGGTTAGCCACCCAGGATAACCCTAGAAAGTCAGTGTGTCATTGAGGACTGTAACTTATTTCCATTGGGGTTCTTAATCTTGTCTCCCAGGATGTGACCCACACCAGTTGACTGACACCCAGGTGAACAGGAAAAAATGCCTGGAACTAGTGCTCATATTGGTGAATTTAAGGCCAGCAAAGGTTGGTTTGAGAGATTTACAAATCGTAGTGGTATACACAGTGTGATAAGGCATGTTCTGGAAGAAAATGCCAAACAGGACCTACATTACTCAGGAGGAAAAGGCACTCCCAGGACACAAATAGTGTCGCATCACTACATCTTCAATAAAGGTGTCATTTATTCTTCATTTAGTAGAGTAGTACATGCACAATATATATTGTGCATGTACTGCTTGACTATTGTGCATGTATCCTTTTTGTGTGTAGGAAAATGTATATTTCATGTGGTAAAAAAAATTCTTTTCATATTTTTGGGTGTCTTGAATGGATTAATTTGATTTCCATTATTTCTTATGGGGAAAATTAATTCAACCTACGATCATTTCGTCTTACGATGGGCTCTCAGGAACAGATTAATATCATAAGTCGGGGGTCCACTGTATTTAAAATGTTCAGTCTACTTCAGGTATTCATATTAAATAAATTCTGAATTACACATCAGTGCCCTGTTGCTCTATTTGACTTAAAGTTTACTTTTCAATAAGATATGTTGTCTCATTGAATTTTAGATTACATTTGAATTTGTTTGCAAAAAACTATACCATCCTCGTCTTCGTGCTTAACATTACCCATGATAATGACATTAAACAACTTGGTTTGGAGGAAGCATCTCAATGACGTGTTTAGTTTGTACAGTTTTTTCTACCTTCCTGTCATATATATATATATATGTTTAGTCATAAATGTCCTATTTAGCATGTGTTTTGTTTCTGCCTTTATTAATATTTGTAAACTGTGCAGAATAATGAAACTGATTTAATGACCTATGGATAGCAAAATTTTAGATTATAAGGCGTGTTTGAGCATGAGAACCAAATTTCTCTCTAGATTCGGTTTAAAATATTCTAAAGTACTTGAATCACTGTATAACATACAAGAATTCCTCACTTTAATAGACTTCGTAAATACATGACAAAATCTGCTGGGTCAGCTGATTTAGATACAATGAATGAAGTCCATTGGTTATGAAACTGTTTATTATTGTTAGGCTTGTAGCCCAACAATGTCATCTCTATCTACCACAATCACCATTACCAACCACTCACTCCTTCCCTGTCAGTCTGTTAAACTGAGGGTTCACTACTGAAACAAGTATTCTGATGAAAAGAAAAAAATACATGTTGCAAAACAAGCTGTTATTGGGACAATGTTTTGCTCTCTATAGAGCTTTATCACATCATGACTTGACAAAGTTTTACACAGAGCAAAACACTGTCCTAGTAAAAGCTTCTTCTGCAACATATGTTTTTTTCATTAGTGTTGGCAATATGCCATTTGGATCCAACAATATGTTAATGAAATGTATTACATACTTTGCAGGTGGACTTCCACGCCCTCCACCGCAAGCAAATAAGAATCCTTTTGAAACAATTCTCAAACCAGAAGTTTAAGAGTTAAAGCCTTTCATCCATGTGAAAAATATGAATAAAGAAAAGTTCAAAATGGTGTTAATAGGATCTGATAACTTTTAAAGGAACAAAATTCACTATATCCACAAATATATTAATATTAATTCATAGTGTCAATTTTTTAAATGTTTTTATCATTACTAACATACCTGTAAATGTGTAACTAATAAATTAGTAATGACAGGTACTCCAGTACTGGTGTTCAAAATACCAGGATTAGTAGAAAAGGAATTGATCACTTTTGTTATTACTGTATCATATCAGTGATATATACCTGTGACTGATTTTGAGGGTTCATCTACCTTCACAGTTCAGCCTGAGACCAGCCTTTTTTGTTGGCCTCCTGGTCAACCAGGCTGTCGGTGCTAATGGCCTGTAGGCCACACAGTCATCACAACCCAGCTGATCAGGAACTTTGCAAGAGATATTGATCCACTTTCTTCTTGATAACTCAGGCAAAAATCTTATTTTATATTCAGTTTTATTTAAGACTGTTTTGGGATTGGAAAAAGGAATCATTGTAAAGCTTTCATGTTGTAAATAGTTCACTGGTGTACTGTATCACAAAATGCTTTTCATGTATCCTCCAAAAATATCTTAAATTTGATCCAAATAAATATCTTTGCACAAGAAATAAAAGAAAATGTTATAAGCCACCTTCCATCTGTTATTTGATATAGTATTAGTACTGTAGTAGTGATTTTTTTTTTATGTTGAATGTTCAACATTGTGTGCAAGCGAATGTGCATCTCAATGTATAGTTGTATTGAGCTCTAAATGTCCTATATGTTATCTAGAAGGAAACTGTTCTTAGTGAGATGGACTAGTATCAAGGTTTCCGACTAGACTAGACAGAAGTAGGAAGTTTCCCCTCAGATGGACTACATTAATAAGTTCTTGTAGTTTGATTTCCTTAGTGTAAGGAAACTATTATAATATTTATTTTGTAATGTAGGCAAATACTTTCACTGCATATTTGAAGGAACAGTTTTATTGACATACTCTTTCACCTGAACAAAATGTTAATGTGAAAGTTAAAAATTAGCACCACATTGTCTCACAGTAAAGATTACTTAATATCAGGGTACAGTGTAGATATAAATCTTATTCCAAAAGTAAGTCATATTCCATGTAAATATATATATTTCAGGGAAGATTTTCATTAGAGAATAAGTTTAAATACATACTGTAAGGCACATTGGTTAAAATACTGGCAGGTACTTGAAACAGTAAGTTCCTCTAGTGTTCATAAATGTTCTTTAAGCAAGTGTCAGAGTAGAAAGTCTGCATGGAATGCTGCTATAAGTTTGAGTTATGTCATCTGAAAGAAAAATAAAATTAAGTTTGTGTGTAGGATGTGTTGGTAGAACACTGAATTAAGAGTGAAGTTCCCAGTGTATGAAGACGTGGTGCAGTTAAGATTGTTTCAGCAAGAGTGAAATACCCGGTGTAAGAAGTGAAACACTTTAGGTTAATGTGAATATTGGTTACTAGAATATTGCAGCAAGACTGAAGTACCCAGTGTGTAAAGAAGTGGTAGAATTTAGATGGATATGAATATGAATTACTAGAAGGAGTGTTGTGGTAATGCAAGATTTGCATTCAAGCAAGACACTATAAGGAACAGAAAGAAGGAAAGCCGAGTACAAGATTTAGACATTTTTACTGAGATGATACAGGAATGGTATAAAGAAACAGATGAAGAAGCAAGTGAGAAATGTTAAAGAAACAGAGAAAATAAAGTGTTATCACAAGGAAATGTTGGCAAAAATAAACAATTAGAGGGGAACCAAGAGTTAAAATGGTTACCTCCTATTCAGTAACACCTTCAGAAGTGCAGGTGTATTTAAAAAAATTATGCATTCACATCTTCCCTTTGATGTAGGAATTTGTGTATTAATTATAATTTCTGTGAACATTTAGTATAAAATACTTAGCTTTCAAAGTGCTCTTTTATTTAAAACATCTTCCTTCAAATATAAAAAAAAATGTTTGTCAGGCTTTTAATTGAATATTAAAAGAAAATGGGCAGTGGCAAGGACATTTTACATATACAGTGGTTCTTTGAGTTATGATATTAATTTGTTCCAAAGACTTATTGTATCTTAAAACTATTGTAACTCAAACCCCAAAATACTGTACAGTGGACCCCCGGTTAACGATTTTAATCCGTGCAAGAGGGCTCATCGTTATGCGAAATAATCGTTATGCGAATGAATTTTCCCCATAAGAAATAATGGAAATAAAATTAATCCGTGCAAGACGCCCAAAAGTATGAAAAAATTTTTTTTTTACCACATGAAATGTTAATTTTAATACACACAAACTGAAAAAGGCATGCACAATTAAATGACACTTACTTTTATTGAAGATCTGGTGATGATTGTGGGATGGGAGGAGGGGAGAGCATTATCTTCTTATGTTTAGAAGGGGAATCCCCTTCCATTAGGATTTGAGGTAGCAAGTCCTTTTCTGGGTTACTTCCCTTCTTCTTTTAATTGCCACTAGGACCAGCTTGAGAGTCCTGGACCTCTGTCGCACAACAAATTGTCCATAGAGCTCTGTACCTCCCGTTCCTTCAAGACTTTCCAAAAAAGGGCCATAACATTGTCATTGAAATAGTCACCAGCAGGCTTGCAACGCTGTGTCAGGGTGATTTTCATCTATAAAGGTTGCAGTTCAACCCACTGTGCACACATTTCCTTAATCTTTGAAGTAGGCACAATGGATTCCACAACTGGCATAGGCTTCTCAGGGTTAGCCAAAACCCTCAAAATCTTTTTTAAATTTCCATACTAATTCTCACCCTTTTTACCACAGGGTTGGCACTAGAAGCTTTCTTGGGGCCCATGGTCACTTTTTTTCCCAGAAACAGCACCGAAAACACTGTAATAATACGAAATATTCCGAGTGTATGCTTGGATGTTACCGCGGAGGCTGGCTGGTAAACAATGGGACGGCCGGCACATGTGAGGGCACATTGGACGCGTCTCGGACGAAAATCGGTAAGCGGGTTTTTAATCGGTATGCGCGGCAAAAATTTTGCGATAAAAGTAATCGGTATGCGGAAAAATCGCTATGTGATGCCATCGTTATGCGGGGGTCCACTGTACATGGTTTTATGGTACAGTAATTTGTTCCAAAATGCTAGAACACACCCAACCTACCCTTGGATTCTTTTTGTTTAAACACTGGGGTTTTCTGAGTGATAAACAAGGATAGGCTGCAAAACTTTAACCCTTTCAGGGTCTGTGCCGTAGATCTACAGCTATACATTGAGGGTCCAAACCGTAGATCTATGCCAAAATTTTAGCGGCGTCAAATTTAGCGTGAGAACGCTGGTAGGCTTACATCTGAGAGAATGGGTCTGCGTGGTGTGTGTGCGCCGTAAACAAAAATTCTAGGGGGAATGCCACCTCATTTACCTTTGTTCACCATGCCTTGTTGCAAGGCAGCTCTCCCTCTAAGGCGAACTGGGACTCTCCTCTTCCTATCTGATAGTTCTGACTCTGATGGAAGTGGAAATGAACACGAATTCTATGGCTTTGATCAATTAGTGACCGAAAGGAATGACCAGCATATCGAAAATAGTGCAGAAAATCCTGACGATCCTCAACCTTCTACCTCTGGTGTGGGCACGTCTCAGTCACGTTCAGTTGTACCTCGTCGCAAGGCCTCAGACTTCAGTAATGATGATGATGATAGTAATGTGGATTGTGATTTTATTGCTCTTGATGATCATTCAAGTAGCGATAGTGAGGAATCATATTCACCAGTGAAGCTTCGGTATGTACACCGCCACATGCGCTCGGGTAGTGTTCCCTATGCAGTGCCCAGGGGATGGAGTACATCCCAGAGTACACCTCGTGGCCCAACACCAGGAACAGACAGTGAAAGTGAGGATGATGTGGCTACACTTGGCATGGATAGACCACAGGCATCAGTAGGTGGTGGTATTGGTGGTGATGGTGGTAGTGGTGATGGTAGTGCCACAGCCATGCATGACTCACCAGCCCAGGCTGAGACCCACGCTGCTGACTCCTCAGCTCAAGGACAAAGCAGAGCATCAGCCACCACCCCATCACAACCACAACTACCACCACAACTAGCTTATGATGTCCAGTATCCACCAGCAAACCATATCTGGGATTGGCAGCAAAATCCCAATTTTGTTCCCAAGCCCCACCAGTTTGATGACTCTCAAAGTGGAATTCTACTAACTTGTTCCCTTGGAAACACTCCAAATGAACTGGAATTCTTTGACCATTCATTGACCAGCCCTTGATGGAAACTATTGTCAGGGAGAGTAACAAGTATTTTGAGTACACCATGGTAAATACAATCATATCACCACAGTCAAGACTACATCGGTGGAAAGAGACAACTGTTGCTGAAATGTATTTGCTTTTTGCAACAATAATGCTTATGCCTCATGTCTATAAGCATAATATAAAATCATACTGGTCCACAGATCGGCTAATTTGTACCCCAGTCTTCAGTGAAATCATCCCAGTGAACAGGTTTATCTTACTGTTACATATGTTGCACTTCTCTGACAAAACCAGGCCTGATGGAAGTGACAGGTTATACCAGATTAGAAATGTTTTCATGTATCTGAAACAAAAGTTCAACATGTACTTTTATCCATTCAAGAATCTCGTAATTGACGAGTCTTTGATTTTGTTCAAAGGTAGACTGTCATTCAAGCAGTATATACCTAGCAAGAGGAAATGCTTTGGTATAAAACTGTTTGTGCTCTGTGACTGTGACAGTGGCCTGGTATTGGATATTATTGTATACATAGAAAGTAAAGCATTGAAAGATACCAGGATGTTATTGGGTATTTCAGGTGACATAGTGAGAAACATGATGGCACCTTATCTTGGTAAGGGGCAGACATTATATACTGATAACTGGTACACAAGCCCTTTACTTAGCGATTTCTTGCGAGTGAACATGACAGATGCATGTGGCATAGTGTGTTCTAATTGTAAACATATGCCCAGGTTCAATGCAGGCACTTGTAGTGGTGAGGTACAGGTATTTACTGCCAATGACATCATGGCATTATGGTGGCATGACAAACGAGATGTCACATTGTTGACAACCATTCACCCTAACAAAATGCAAGACAGTGGCAAAGTTGATGGAGTAACTAATGAATGTGTTCGAAAACCAGTGACAGTGATTGACTATACACAAAACATGCGTTTGGTTGACAAATGTGACATGCAAATAGGCTTTGTTGATTGTGTTTATAAGAGTTACAAGTGGTACATGAAACTTTTCTTCCATCTCATGGACATTTCAATGCTCAATGCATATAATATGTACCAAATAAAGACCTGCAACAGACCACTGTATGGTGAATTTTGTTTGTCTGTTGTCAGACAACTCATAATGAAGTACCAGGTAACAACACCTGCTATACAAAACCGTCCTCAAACTCCTCAGGAAGTACCCAAGCGTTTGAGGAGGGAATACAGCTTCCTGCAACTAAGAAGAAATTTCCTCAGAAGAGATATGTTGTCTGTGCACAAACAAAACGATGGCAACGAAGACGCAAAGACACTCGCTTTTTGTGTGAGGAACATAAGGTACCTCTGCGCATGATACCTTGTTTCAAGGACTTCCACAAGCTGCAGCAGTTCTAAAAACATGTCCAGTGACTGTACATATGTAAATATATAATAGAACATTAGCATTATACAAGATTTGTGCATGTTTATTGTAGTAAACAATAGTGGTAAACAAAATTATAATAATAACTTTAGTGCGGTTATTGTGTTCAATACAATGAGTGTATACGTATATATACATTATATACAGTATTGGTCTCACAGGCCACAAATGTTACTAGAAAAAGAAAAAATTAGAAAAGAAAAGAAAAAAGTATAAAAAACGTAAATGAAAGAAATGCGATTTTGTGGAAATCGCTGATGTTGCTGCCACCCGGTCATTTTGGGTCAACCTCTCGCCTCTGTATCTTGGTAAGTACTGATCAGAAATTTTGTTTTGGTTTATTACCTTCGAAAAAATATAATCTTTAATTCTGTAAGAAAAAATATATATATATTTTTTTCAAAATTTCTTGGACACTGGGGCACCCGTTCAGATTTTGCCTTTGGACCCTGAAAGGGTTAAATATCCTGAGGCATTGGCACCTAACAGCAGAGTAAGCTTATCTTTTATAGGTTTATGCCCAGGCAATGTGGAGACTTTAATATCAGTAACTAAAAGTGTTACTTATCTTTTTAAAGGTTGATGACCTAAAGACTACAGCTGCTGCTCTCTGTAGTCTTTCCCTCACACAGCCGTCCTTGTGTACTCCGGAGCTGTAATAGAGCGAAAGTGTAAGGGTTAAGTGTGTGCCCTAACATGATAATATCCATTATTATTCAGATACAGTAGGGCCCCACTTATATGGCAGGTTATGTTCCAGGCTACCGCCTTAAAGCAGACGTTGCCGAAAAGCAGAATGCCATTTTTTCCACTTATAAATGCATATAAATACCAGGCAACTTATATTAGGTTAGCAATAGAACTGCATGTTAGTGTCTTCCATTGCAGACTCTGCAAGGCTCCAGGCAGACATCAACCAAATCTTTCAGTGGGCTGCAGAATACAATATGAAGTTCAACTATGAGAAATTTCAATTACTCCGATATGGTAAATATGAGAAAATTAAAACTTCATCAGAGTATAAAGCAAATTCCAGCCACAAAATAGAGCAAAAAACTAACGTCAAAGATCTGGGACAGATGATGTTGGAGGATCTCACCTTCAAGGACCATAACATTCTATCAATCGCATCTGCTAGAAAAATGACAGGATGGATAATGAGAACCTTCAAAACTAGAGATGTCAAGCCCATGATGACACTCTTCAGGTCGCTTGTTCTATCTAGGCTGGAATATTGCTGCACACTAACGAAACCTTTCGAGG